GGATTCTAGGCAGGGGCTCTACCACTGAGCCACGCCCCCAGCCCCTCCCTGGGGGATTCTAGACAGAGGCTCTACCACTGAGCCACGCCCCCAGCCCCTCCCTGGGGGATTCTAGACAGAGGCTCTACCACTGAGCCATGCCCCCAGCCCTTCACTGGGGGATTTTAGGCAGGTAACTTTACTACTGAGCTACATCCCTCATCCTTTAGTTTGGAACAAGATCATAATAAGTTGCCCACATTGGTCTTGAACTCTCAGTCCTCAAGCCTTTACCAGTTTATATGAAAACAGATAAAATCCAGGCTGACAAGATGACCTATTTGTTAAAGGTGTTTGCTCCAATCCTGACCATCAGAGTCTAATCCCAGAAACTCACAAGGTACAAGAAAAGAACCAACTAGGAGAGTTGTCCTCTGAGCTCCACACGGCACCATGCACTCCCGGACACACACTAGTGAACATACAACATTTCTGTTACAATCCGTACAGACACTCCCATGGGTGTGTAACATAACGTAACCAGCAGCTCTGACAGAGCACAGACGCCTGGACACAGTGAGAATTTTCTTGTTGTTTTGTTTTGGTTTTTTTGAGGTAGGGTTTCTTTGTGTAAACCAGGCTGGCCTGGAACTCACTCTGTAGACCAGGCTGGCCTTGAGCTTACATTGGTCTACCTGCATGTGCACCACAATGCCTGACCCAATACAGTGAGAATTTAACAAACCAGCTTAGTCGGAGGCTACACTCTCCTCCCTCAGGAGGTTAAGGGAGCCAGCAAGGGTGTCCGGAGGAACTATTTAGCACGTGTACTCTAAAATGGAAGAAATAGGACCCGCTTGCAGAGAACCTACTTCTAGAATATATTTTTTATTTTAAGGGCTTATTTTATTTTTATTTGTGTGTATGAACATTTTGGGCTTGTATATATGAATGCGCCCCACATGTGGAGACCAGAAGAGGGCACTGGGAACCACACCCCGGTCCTCTCCAATTACAGCAAGTGCTCTTAATCACTGAGCCATCTCTTTGGCCCCAGAATTTATTTTTTTCTAACATGATCCTTTAATGGTTGGAGATTTACTAGGAAGCAAATTTTCCATAAATTCCAACATATATTAGGCTAGAGAGGCAGAACAATAGTTAAGAGCACTGGCTAGTCCCAGCAACTATATGGTAACATACAACATCCGTAACTCCAGTTTTAGGGTATCTGTTACCCTTTTCTGGCCTGTGTGCATGAGGCATATACATAGTACACATATATATGTGCAAGCAAAATGCTCATACAAGTAAAATGTTTTTTAAAAAATCTTCGAAAATTTTAACATTTTAAATATTTATTCATAGTTCAATTGGTATGGTGCTTGCATAGCTTTTCCAAGTCTTTAGGTTTAATCCTTATCACCACATAAATCAGGCATGGTAAGCCAGGCCTATAATCCTGTCACTCAGGATAGTGAAGGAAGGAGCGTCAGAAGTTTGAAGCCATCAGCTACATAAGGGATTTGAGGCTGGCCTGGGCTACGTGAGACCCTGTCTGAAAAGACACAAGAGAGGGTAAGGGTTGGAGGGATGCTTGCCTATAGCACAAGTGTTTACATTCCAACAGAGCTGGTTGGAATGAAAGATAGCAAGAATCTGGGAAAAGAAAGATAGCAAGAAGATCGTCCCGAGAATCACAGCCTTCCCTAGGCAGCAGGACTGGACGGCTCTAACAGCTGACAGGCCACTCCCTAACCCATCCCCTGCCACTATGGGAAGATCCCCACTGTGCCCTCAGAGCTGCTGGATGGAGGGTATAGCACAGTGGGAGAGCACCTGCCTAGCACACTCGAGGCCCTGGGTTCCATCCCCAGCCACACAAGGCAGATAAAAAGCTCTCTAGACTTTAAAGATTTTTGAGAGGTGGGTAGCTCTTCTGAAAGGCTGTGTTGTGTATGTCAGGCGTACGAAGAGGGCAAGTTGCTAAATGTGCAGTTTCTTGGAGCTCAGTGGGTAAAGGCTTTCGCTGCCAAGCCCGATGACCTGAGGTTGATCCCTAGAACCCACGTGACGGAACAAGAAAACTAGCTACTACAAGTCCTCTGACCTCCATGTGCACCCCTGTACGCAAAAAAATAAATAAATATTATTAAACTGCCGCTTTGGAGCTTTGGAGCTGGTGACTGCTCAGTGGGCGACTCGAGATGAAGCCCAGCTCTGCCCTCTAGTGTCCGCAGGGAAACACTTCACAGACTACGATCCAGGCAGGAGCCAGCTAGGGTAGAAAGCTCTCTCTCCCTGGGGAAGCAGTTGGAACATGGAGACCCAGGCAATACCGAACCAAGGAAGAGTTGACTCATTCCTGGAGGTTTCTGCAGTAGCTCAGAAACCCTGTGTACTCCGAGGCAGGCAGGCACAACCCAGATCCACCTGCCTTGTGGTTGGAAGCATGGACGGAGGGGGTAGGAGGGCTGTCACGATAGCCCCGAAGGTAAAGCTTGATGACTTTGAGTTTGATCTCCAGAACCTATGTAAAAAGCACTCAGCACCCACACGCACATAAGTAAGGAATGAAAAAACAAAAAAGATAAACACAGCCTTTAGAAAAGGGGGGAGCATAGAAATTCAGACTACACTAGTAGAGGGTTTGAAAGAAGCCAGGACTAGAGTGTATGTGGCTCAGTGGCAGAGTTCTTGCCTAGCATGCACAAGGTCATGGGTTCTGTGCCGAGCACCAACGGACATGGGGAGGGGAGAAAGAGACAGAGAAAGGAGAGAGAGAGAAGAAAAGATGCTGAGTATGGTGGCCTCCCAATACTCAGGCAGCTGAGGTAGGATTGCTGCCAGTTTGAGGTCAACCTGGGTGTGTAGTGAGACTCTGGTGCATTAGATCCAGGGTAGGGTGCTTATCTCACATGCACCAGAGCCTAAGTTTAATTCACGGTACAGTTATTAAACTAATTTCCTTTGGTTGGTTTGGGTTTTTTGAGACAGAATTTCTCTGTGTAGCCCTGCCTGTTTTGGAACTTGCTCTGTAGACCAGGCTAGCCTTGAATTCACAGATCCACCTGCCTCTGCCTCTCTGCCTCTCTGCCTCTCTGCCTCTCTGCCCCTCTGCCCCTCTGCCCCTCTGCCCCTCTGCCCCTCTGCCTCTCTGCCTCTCTGCCTCTCTGCCTCTCTGCCTCTCTGCCTCTCTGCCTCTCTGCCTCTCTGCCTCTCTGCCTCTCTGCCTCTCTGCCTCTCTGCCTCTGCCTCTGCCTCCTGAATGCTGATATTAAAAGTATGTGTCACCACTGTCTGACTGATTTTTGAAGTTAACCAGGAGCTTAGAATGTTTGGGTTTTTTTTTTTTTGTCTTTTTTTGTTTGTTTGTATTTCGAGACAAGGTTTCTCTGTGTAGCTCTGGCTGTCCTGGAACTCACTCTATAGACCAGGCTGCCCTCGAACTCAGAAATCTGCCTGCCTCTGCCTCCCAAGTGCTGGGATTAAAGGCGTGCAACACCACTGCCCGGCGAGCTCAGAATGTTATTTGTAGAGTGTCTATCTATACACAAAGCCCTGGAGTTGATCCTTAGTCCCATATATTCCAGGGATACTTGAAATCCCAGCACTTGGGAGGCTAAGGCAAAAGGATAAAGGAGAGTTCAAGGACAGCCTGAGCTACATATTGAGAACCTGTCTCAAAAATAGACAGGAAAGGAGGAATGCCGCCTTTGGTGGAGAGGCAGGCATCCATCTAGAATATACAGACCAAACTGTTTGGTATAAAAGAAGACAGCCAAGATGAGGCCTCATTATCTTACCCAGAAGTCTTCAGGAGACAAGCCCTCCTACGCTAGGTACTAACAGGAGAGCCGGACTGGCTCAGAGTCCAGCAGAGCCTCACCTGCCATCACTCCACCCCCTCCCCCACCTCCATCTCCTCTTCTGGCCTTTCCCTCAGGTCTCAGCCCAGACCCCTTGTTTTATCCCATCCAGGGGGTAGCCAGATGTCTGCGTTTGGTGTTGCACCCCTTGCGGCTGCCAGTCAACCCAACAGCCTTGCAGATGTGGGCAGCCTCCTGGGACCCAGGATGGCTGCTGGAGGTCTCCCTGGCAGGTGGGTCCAGACATGAAGGTGACCCACCTGAAGGTTGGTGGCATTTTCACAGGCTGGTAGCACCTTGTGACTTACTTATCTCCCCTTGGCTTCCTGGGCTAGCCTTGGGTAACACAGCAAGCTTGCCTTCTTTGCCCTTTTGCTCTGTTCTTCCTGGAAGATGCCCATTCCCACCTCTCTCCCTGCGCCACAGTGTTTTCGGGATGCCCAGCCAGGTTCCTGTGTTGCAGTCGGCTGTGCCAGGTGTTAGCGGCAGTGCAGGACTCCCCTTTGGAGGTGAGTCCTACCTGTGGAGACCTGGGTGGGGAGGGAAAGCACCCCAAGACTGAGAAGGCTCAAACCATCCTTTTCTCTAACCTCTCTCTGTCTCTCTTTGTGTTGTGAGCAGCCTTCACCAACCCCTTTGCCACCCCTCCCCAACCCCAGCTGCCTTCCACCAACCCATTCCAGCCCAATGGTCTAGCCTCAGGTAAGTTCCCAAAGCTGACTTCTATGATTTTTAGAGTGCCAACTCTCCTAACCCTATATCTCTCATTATCCAAAGAGTAGTCAACATCCCGCTCCTCCCCCCACTGTCTGCCAGCTAGCCCAGGCTAATTCCTTCTGCAAATCAAGCCGCCTAGTGGACTAAAATAGAAGCATCCATGCCATAGTGAACGGAATGTCACAGAAAAAGCGCCACATGGTGGTGTGGCCCTGTAATACCAGTACTGCTTAAGAGAGAGGATTGTCACAAGTTCAAGGACAGACTGGGGTACATAGTGAGACTCTGTCTCAAAAACATAGATTTAAAGGATGGAGAGTCAAGAGAGAGGCAGGTGAGTGGAGGGGGAGGCAGGAGGCACGCCTCATCCCCAAGTCGGTTCTCACGTGTATTTTCCTGCCCTTGTGTACACTGTGTGTGTGTGACTCAGGTGGTCTCCTGTTTGCCCGGCCTGAGACTCCATCGAGCTAAAAGGATTTGAGGAATTAAGACAATATAGAGGCTGTGGAGGGCCGGGGGCAAGGAACTGCTAGGCCTTGCTGACAAACAAGGACAGGGGTAATAAGGAACTCCCTAAGCTTAGGCTTGGGCACTGAAGGGGAAGCCCGGCTGCTCCGAGGGACGGATCTGCATGCGGGTTAGAGACAGGAGCGTCTGCTGCGGCAGCTAAGAGGAAAATACACGTGAGAACTTGGGGAAGAAGTGTACCTCCCTCCTTTTCCCCCTCTCTCCTCCACTCACCTGCCTCCCTCTCTTGACTCTCCATCCTTTAAGTCTGTTTGTGAGACAGTCTCACCATGTACATCAGGCTGGCCCGAACCAGCACTGGGAAGGTAGGTTAAGAAGATCCTGAGTGCGAGGCCATCTCTAGGTACATAGTGAGCCCAAGGACAGCTTGTCTCCTAAGTGGGAAGGGGACACGGAGAGAGAGAATCAATAAGACGGGACATAGCGAGGGGTCACAATTCACCTGTCTGTGGGCCCGTCTGTGTGGCTAACAAGCGCTGCACAATTCAAGCCGGGAGCCCCGAGCGCAGTGACATCACAGGCTTGTCGGGAAAAGCTGGATGGCTGTAGGGCTTCTTCCCTCAAGGCCCTTCCACTGTGGGAAAAGTGACCCCATATGGAAAATGGGGAGATTGAGAGGGGAATGTCAGCTCATCTGCCTGAAGTCCGCCTGAGCCTCCCATCTCTCGCTCCACAGGGCCTGGGTTCGGGATGGGCAGTGTTCGGCCAGGCCTTCTCCAGCCAGTGCCACCCTCCGGGGCCTTCGCCAGTACCTTCCCTGCACCGGTGTTCCCCACACAGGCAGGGCTGGCTGAACAGCAGAACGGTAAGAGGACCCGGTATGAGCCCTCCCTTTCCTCCGTGTATCCCCACTGTACGTCCGGACAGCACAGCCCCTGAGTACCGTGTGTGATCTGTTCCAGGAACCCCACCCCCACCCCGCGTGAGCACCGGACCCTTTAGATACTCAGTTCATGTAAACGCATTGCGTTTACACAGAAACTGTACACGCTAAGTGCGCATGTGCATTAATCCCGGCTACTCAAGAGGCTGAGACAAGGGCAAGGACTGCCGGGAATACTCACTTAGTGAAAAGAGGGCGGGATGGAGCTTACTGGTAGAGTTTACCTCCACTCTCAGTCCAATAAAGAAGGAAGGAACCTATACACACCCGTCTCTCCGTGTGTATACTTTTAAAGGAATTTTATTTGGTATGTGTGGTTGTTTTGCCTCCATGATGTGAACCTTGGTCCTCTAGAACAGAGGGTTGTGTTTTTAACTGTGGAGCCATCTTTCCAGCCTTTGCCTGTTTTGTTTTTTATTTGTGTGTGTTTGGGTGAGCATGTCATGGCACTGCCATGAAGGTCAAGACAGCTTGTGATAAGTCATGTCTCTCCTTCCACCGTGTGGATCCTGGGAATCGAACTCAGGTCTTCAGGCAACAGAAGCCTTTACCACTGATCCATTTTGCCAGCCCTTTTTTTATCTTGTCTTATTTTTTGTTTTGTTTTGAGATAGGTATATAGTATGTAGCCCAGGCTAGCCTTGAATTCCTGATCATCCAGCTTGCCAAGTGCTGGGGTTACATAAATTGGACACTATACTTGGCTGTTTATAATCTTTTTGTTTGTCCAGACAGGGTTTCTCTGTGTAGCCCTGGCTGTCTGGAACTCACTCTGTAGACCAGATTGGCCTCAAACTCAGAGATCTGCCTGTCTGTGCCTCCGAAGTACTGGGAT